GAACATTTTCAAGCGAAAAAATAAAAATTTACGTTCGTGAAAACGGAAGAGGGAGGACACTCCACCCTACCCCTGATTCTATGCGCCTGAATATTAATGCTATGTTCACTTTGTCAACTCAATGCAATTAGGAGAGATTTTTTTTAACTATACTGTATAGAAAAGAGGGGGTGGTTACAAGACTTTCAATTAACATTTTCAAACTAGAAATTGCTAAAATTTACATTCAGAAAAAAGTGGCGGGGAGGGACAGTCCCTCCTCCTTCTCCGATTCTTTGTGCCTGAATATTATGTTCACGGGAATGGAATTCAGATGCAGGTGAAACAACTTTTCAGAATTGTTTTCAATCTATTTTTAGTTCAATGTAGGAAAAATAAGTCCTTATGTTCACCTTGAAGGAAAATAAAATGGTCTGTCTTTAATAATAAATTGAAAACATTAATCTACTTCAATATACACGGTACTGAAACGTTTCCATATTGATTTGACAAGTGTATCACTGCTTTAAAGAAGATTTTTAACAGAATTTTTCCTCTTACATGTATGTATCCTATTCTCAGACGACCAGGTTAACAGACTTTAATGTACATTATGCTGGGATTCTTCTTTATTACTTCCTCATATTTGAAGAGAAATTCCCATAGACCACTGTTTATAAATAAAATTTATTGCACAATATACGATTGAATATATTTCAGACATGCAGAAATTGTATGTCCTTCTTATGTTTGCCACGTCTGCTTCATATTTGGAAGTACTACTGACTAAAGACGATATTTAAAGACCAACCAACAACTAAATTATCTGACAAACGGAATGCCTTCAGCTTTTTCATTCGTCAATTTTCCTTATTTATGTAGTAATATTCCGCTATCATTTGCATATGATTTTACGTCTAACAACTTATTCGATACCAAAGAGCACGATTAATTTTTAAATCGAGGCAGGCTACTGACAGATACATGTAAGTTGATTTTACAGGGGTATCAACAACCTCGTTTAAAGTCAGCACTTCATAAATTAAATGGTCGTATCAATGACCCTGTCAACAAATATAACCTATAATTGGGTCAGTTGTTTGGCCTTTGTCTTCATACTAAATTCGACAACGGAATGTCCCGTTTACCTGATTTATTCATAGGGCTCACGGCGGGTGTGACGGGTCAACAGGGGATGCTTACTCTTTCTAGGCACCTGATCCCACCTCTGCAATTTTCGGGGGTCCTTTTTTTTATGCCCTGTTAACAGAATTGTATTGTTTGTGGACATTTTGAAAATATTACTGTTCGTTATCTTCACATTTTTTTCATTAGGAAATATATTCACAACTTATTCGCATGAGATACATGTATGATGTCATTTGCGATACATTATACCTCATTTGCACGACTTTTTATGTCATTCAAAACACACCCACACACACACGTGAGGGTGTGTGTATGTGTGTGTTAAATCATAAATATTTTGATCTCAAAATCAATAGGGGTATTTTAAGGTCATACAATATTTCACATAAAATTTCATTACAAAAGCTGATTCCAGTGGATTACCTAGCAGGAAAGTTTCTTCAATAATAGGCAAAACTCTTAAGGTAAAAATAATGGAATCAGAATTTCCTGGTAATATGCACATCTACACACTGTATACTAAATATCTGCAAGGTTTGACCAAATTCTGTGCAGCGGTTCAAGAGGAGTTGCACTGACTAACTATTCATATCTATATTCAAGATACGGCCAAAAATCTAAGTCGAAAAGTGCCGAAATTCCCAGAAAAATTATGAAGTCGGAATTTTCTGGTAATACGCACATCTGCACATTGTGTCCTAAATATCTGCAATGTTTATTGAAATTCTATACAGCAGTTTAAGAGGAGTTGCACTGACAAACTGTTCATCTCTATATTCAAGATATGGCCAAAAATCTAAGTTCAAAAGTGTCGAAATTCCCAGAAAAAATAAAGGAATCGAAATTACCTGGTAATATGCACATCTACACACTGTATACTAAATATCTGAAAAGTTTGACCAAATTCTGCGCAGCAGTTCAAGAGGAGTTGCACTGACAAACTATTCATATCTATATTCAAGATACGGCCAAAAATCTAAGTCGAAAAGTGCCGAAATTCCCAGAACAAAATAAAGGAATCGGAATTTCCTGGTTATATGCACATTTACACAATGTGTCCTAAATATCTGCAAAGTTTGACGAAATTCTATGCAGCGGTTTATGAGGAGTTGCGCTGACAAACTGTTCATCTCTATATTCAAGATATGACCAAAAATCTAAATTGAAAAGTGTCGAAATTCCCAGAAAAAAATAAAGGAATCGGAACTTCCTGGTTATATACACATCTACACATTGTGTCCTAAATATCTGCAAAGTTTGACGAAATTCTATGCAGCAGTTTATGAGGAGTTGCGCTGACAAAAAACAGGACTGACGGACTGACTGACGCACTGACTGACGGACGGGTAAAAAACATTATACCTCACGCAACTTGTTGCGTGGGGTATAATAAATGTACGATATATGGCCCGGCCAAAAGTACCACCAACGACCATAGGAATCAGTTTGTGGTGCCACCATCATAGCAAAAATAGACTATTGTTCACTATAGTTAACTATTGTTACTTTAGTCAAACTGTTATGCTTAAGTTAACATCGAAACTTTACAACTGTTTTAGGGGAAATGAGATCAAAATTTCTTAGACTTTATACCAGTAATGTAAATTTGTAAATAATTAATAAATATACAAGCAAATTTTTACTTTTGAGATGAAAAAATATTGTATGCATAAAAGAACTGGAGAATGTGACAGGAATTTTATTGCATAAACATTATCAAGGAATAAACTTTGATTTACTTTAGAAAATAAAAATAATGTAAATAATTAGGGTAAACTAAGGTATTATTGGAAATGCTTAGATTTTCTCCAGATATCTTTTAATGATCACTCCAAAGATAGTGGGTATAACAGCTGACCTTTAACCCGTATATCAAGAGACAAAGTGGAAAAAACAACAAAGTTCAGTTACCTAACTGACCCTTTCCCTTCCCCGAGACCTTTCGATAAGCTTGCAACGGATTCTCCTCAAGGTCCTTAACCTTTCTCTAGTGTTAGTTTGCTAGTAGCCAAAGATGGTTTCAAAATGAATGCCTGAAATACGTCCTCCACTCTTGGCACCGCTTGGTTGTACCACTACAGCCCCATTCTGAAAAAGGAAATGATAGTCTTAGGGGCCCTCTACCTTGCCCCACTAATGATTTGAAGAACACTTCAAAGATAAGGGGATGTAATTGCTAATCTTTAAACCGTACATCAATAGACAATGTGAAAAACAACAAAGTTCAGGTTAGTTAACTGGCCCCTTCCCTTCCCCGGGACCCTTCAAAAAGCTGACAATGGATATTTCCTAAGGTCCTTAACCTTTTACCAGTGTTAGTTTGTTTTAGTGGTCAATGATGGTTGAAAAATGAATGCTTGAAATATGTTCCCCAATCTTGGCTCCAATTGGTGGTGCCTTTGCAGCCCAATTCCTATGGCGGGAAATTATAGTCCTAGAAATCCTCTATCTTGCCACAGTAATTATTTAAAGCACATTTCAAAGATAAGACGTATAATAGCTGCTTGAAATATGTAACCAACCCTTGGCACCACTTGGTGGTACCACTTCAGCTTAATTTTATGTCCGTATACGATGGCCCTTTGGACCCTTTACCTTGTACCAGTAATTGTTCGACGCACACTTCAAGGATAATAGCTTAATAGCTTAAAATAGCTTAAATTACCTTCAAACTCTATATCATTCTACAATATTGGGAGTAAGGAAATTTCAGGTAGGCTTATTGGCCCCATCATGTTCCTGAGACCCATCAAAGAGCATAAAAGGGATTCTCCCGAAAGTACTTAACCTATTTTCAATGTTGCTTTGTTCTTAAGTGGTCAAAGATGGTGACATTCTCTCTCTCTCTCTCTCTCTCTCTCTCTCTCTCTCTCTCTCTCTCTCTCTTGGTTTGTTTTGAAACCGCATAATTTTCCTTATGCAGGTGAACTTAACTACCTCCGAGTGTTTGACTTATTAAGTAATTAAGTGTTGCATTAATTTTCTAATTATTAATTGTCCAAAAAAAAGTATTAAACAGTATTGCATCAGAGTACTCTCAGTCCCTTGATGAATTTCCTTATTGGCTGCTAGCTTCTACGGGCTTAGTGGCTACTGTTATTGGCTGCTAGCTTCAGTCTAGTAATGTTACCTTTTGGCGATCACAGCTTTCCATACAGTAGAATTTTTAACTTTTTTTTTATTTTACTTTTTTTCTTCATATTTACACTTGGGGTATTTTTCATTCAAAAATCAACATATTTACTATGTTGAACAATCCGGAAAATCTTGCTCTGACATTCCCTTTTTGACATAAGTAACTTAACTTAATCTTTAAGCAACTTTAAGACTGCAATGTTGTTCACGGAAAAATCAACATTTTTTTCTGCACATACTTCAACAAAAAATATATTCTAAATCCAAACAATAGAAAAGACGGTAGTTTTTAATTCACTTCTGTATAATAAAAATAAGTAAAGTCATTCATTTACATAAACAGGACATTTTTGAACTGGAAAGAGAATATACATGTTTAGATTTGTTAGACGTATAGCAAAAGATATTTTTTTTTTTATATATTGATATTTTTTCCGTATATTACAATTGCATACTATATTTTTTATTCATGTATTTAAAAAAACAGTTCAGGGATATAAAACTTGTCCAATGAAAAGCCTACACAATAAAAAGTTTAAAGATACATAAATTTGTACCAAATGAATTTTGAGATGCGTTGTTATCAGAAACAGAAAGAAATGTATAACTTTTTTTAATATATAAAGCCTGATTCTTTGCAATTTTATTATTTATTTTATTAGTGACTTTCTTTTTAAAAACAATTATGGCGGAGAGAGTTCTCGTTGTTATTTTCTTATTTTGCACCTCTTCCATAGGCAAGTCACAAATAATTTATGAAGAGGATCGTGAACAAACCAAGATTTATGAAGCACAACAAATTCGCTCAATGGAAGCTCGACTATCTTTAGTTGAGAGCAAAATGAAAGAGGATTTTGTGAACTTTCAGGATTCTTTAAATTCGTTACATGAACACTACAACGAACAACTGAAAAATGTTGAAATCAGATTGAATGAATCAAATAACAATGCTGATTTCCTGAAACAAAATATATCAATAATTGAAGATAATTTAGGAGAGTCAATTGCAGAAGGGCAAAAGAACTGTATGTGGGCAATCAATACAACAAAAACCTTAATTGATCAGGTTTATACAAGTTCATCAGAAATAAACACAATTTCGGTGAAAGTGATAAACATTGAAAACAGTCTTAATTCGTTACGTTCAACGCTAAGTTCAGCCCAACATAACATTGATTCTTTATCAAGGACTGTGTCCAGTGCAGCCGGGAGCATATTCGATATTCAGAACTCTGTTCAATCATTAACCAACTCAGATTCAAATCAGAATGTGCACATCGCCGAAATCAAATCACAACAAGATTTTTTTTCTAATTCCATAAATAATTTGTCGAACATTGTGGACGTAATCAGTTCATGTAAGTACAATTTTTAAATCAAACCTTATAATGTAGATTCACATGGTTGGATTTCAAGATACCCTGATGTGATGCGATTAAGAAATAATTTCAATAACAATCAGCTTACAATTTGTGAATGTTGTTTTGTATTTTCCTTAAAAAGTCTACGTATTTTCGTTTGTAGTTCAGGTCCGCTTAGTTGGTGGTTCGTTGACTGCTGGTAGAGTAAAGGTGACTTATAAAGGGACGTGGGGAACAGTCTGTGATGATTATTGGGATAATAACGATGCCAGAGTAGTCTGTAAAATGCTGGGTTACAGGTAATATTAAAAACGATTCCATATTGTAATGAACAAATTCGTCACTTTTAACAATGCATTCTTTAAAAAAAATTACGAAAACACAATCAATATCTCAACATTTGTTAAATTTAAAAAAAAGTTTCAAAAATATTTCATGGAATGTTAGTATGACATAATAAAAAATTCTCCCCGCTTTGCCTTCATTTTTTCCTATATACTACAATCTAACAGGAAGCACACGGAGAAGAACACTGGTTTTACTTTCTTGTTTTGTCATGTAAATTATGAATTTACCAGGTGACAATAAATACAAAAATTACAACATGACAACTAACAAATACTAGAGTGTTCCAAGGAACACATGTGTCGCCTGCTTTATAGCATCATTAAAGATCAGAATAAATCTAAGTATGCTCTGACTCAATTATTTATTTGTTATGGCATTATCATGATTATCATACACATGTAACAGAAAAGAAAAAAAAATCCACAACTAGTTAGACCGGTAAATTAAGCAATGAATCATTATTTTTTAAAAGATAAAGTCTCGTTACTGCAACTGTAATGTGAAGACAAATTGAATAACGCGCGTCAGTCTACATCAATCCTTTTGGTATACCGATTCCGATGTATTTTCATAGTATTTTTTGAAATTTCATTTTGTGTGGTTACTGTACGCAAGATTAAATTGCTAACGCACCACCAAAGAAAATCTATATCTTATTTTATGGATACCTGATATGGCGGTGCTCTGTTTGACACAAATGAAAACGCAAGGTTGGAATTGAATGATCATTTATTAATAAATAAATGACGAAGCAATCAAAATATGTCAACACATAATATAATTGACAATACCAACAACAATTAAACACATTAGGTAATAGAAACAAGAACATATAGCAGAAACTATCATAAAATCTTAATTTCACAGGATTATGCAATGAGGTACGCATCGACAAAAATACACAGTAAACAAAATGCGTATTTCAGACCTAAACAGTGTGAAAAATGGGGCAACATCCGTCCAACATCAAGTAACGCATGGTACAAAAATACACTGTAAACAGAATGCGTATTTAAAAAAGTGTCAAAAATAGGGCAACAAACGCCCTAAAAGTCAATACTGAAGACGTTAATTTACAAGTGGAGGTGGAGTGGGAGGCGGTGTAAAGACGAATAATGACCCCCATAGAAAAATGACCGGGGTCATTTTTCGCCTCCGTCATTATTCGACGTCGAAAAATGACCCTTTTGCCCGTAGAAAAAGTGTCATCACCCTAAAAATTTACCCTACCTGAAGAAAAATGACCCCCACAGAATTATGACCCTATATGGATTAAAATTGAAATTTTAAGGGGGCAAAAACAAATAAATCAATCAAGAGACCTTTCGGCCAAAATGCTCACCTGAGCTTAATTGGGAATAAATTGACGATATGTTGATCTCATTACATAATACAATTATTGCTATTTTAAGGACAATGCGATAATTCAGAATCTAAAGGAGTAAAAGATTTATCGAGCCCAAAGGCGAGGTGAACATTGTTTTTCAATGGTGGAAAATCATCGTACTGACAGAAAAATAACAGCAATAATTCTTTTATTATATGATTCAACGAATAAATTGATACAAACTGATTAAGAAGACATGTCAAGTTTCTTGTTTACATTTGCTCAAATTCCAGCCAAATAAAGTGAGAGAATCGGAGTTAACATGAGCATATAACCAGTATTTATTTTGCACTTGAAATGTATTTAGGTGCAATGTAGGAAATAAATTTAAGGCATAGCATCGAAAAGGGAAATGGGGCATTATAAGAGGCAAAAATGACATGACAAGTTACCTTAGAAATATCTTTGATGAACCCCTCAAAAAGTTTATTGATGTAAGGGGGATTTCCTTTTACTCTACTGTATCAAAAAGTTGGGGATAGAGCATCCAGACTAGCATGGAACATTTCTAAGCAAAAAAAAAAAAAATTACGTTCATGAAAATGGAAGGGGGAGGACACCCCACCCAACCCCTGATTCTATGCTCCTGAATGTTATGTGCACCTTGTCCACTCAAGTAGGAGAGTTTTTTTAATCATACTGAATAAAAAAGAGGGGGTGGTTACAAGACTTTCAATGAACATTTTCAAACTAGAAATTGTTACATTCAGAAAAAGTGGGGAGGGGGCAATCTCTCCCCCTTCTCCTATTCTTTGTACCTGAATATTATGTTCACTTGAGTGGAATTTTGATTCAGGTGAAAAAACTTTTCAGAATTTTTTTCAATCTATTTTTAGTTCAATGTAGGAAAAATAAATCCTTATGTTCACCTGGAAGGTCAATAAAATGGTCTGCCTTAATGATAAATTGAAAACATATTAATCTACTTCAATATACACAGTATTGAAATGTTTCCATATATTGATTTGACAAATGTATCGATCTCTGTTTTAAAATAGAGTAAAAAAATATTCCTCTTATATGTATGTATCCTATTCTCAGATGACCCTGTTAACAGACTTGAATTTACATTATACTGGGATTCATTTTTATTACTTTTATATATTTGAAAAGAAAATAAAATTGAATGCACATTATACGATTGTATATATATATTTCAGACATGCGGAAATTTTATGTCCTTTTTATGTTTGTCACGTCTGCTTCACATTTCGACGTTCTAATGACTATAGACGATGAAGTCCAACTAACAACTAAATTGTCTGACAAATAGGATGACTTCAGCCTTTTCCATCATCAAATTTCCTTATTTATGCAGTAACATTTCGCTATCATTTGCACATGATGTTAAGGTTTAACATCTCATTTGATACCAAAGAGCACTATTAATTTTTAAAATCGAGGCAGGCTACTGACAGATAAGCTGATGTTACAGGGGTTTCAATTACCTTGCTTAAAGTCAGTACTTCGTAAATTCAATGGTCATACCAACACCCCTGTCAACAATTATAAACCTTAATTGGGTCAATATTTTGGCCCTTGTTTTTATACTAAATTCGACAACGGAATGTTCCGTTTACCTGCTTTTTTGATAGGGCCCACGGCGGGTGAGAGGGATGCTTACTTTTCTTTTAACAGAATTGTATTGTTTATGGATATTTCAAATCATTACTGTTCGCTATCTCCACCTTTTATCCCATTAGGAAATACATCCTAGTATATTGTTCGCACGAAGTATGATGTCATTTGTGATACATACTCTACATCATTTCCACGATGCGGGTCAATTCCGAGTTCCTCCAGTGTTGGTCAAAAGGACATAAAAAATTAAACATTTAGGTTCATACCTTGGTATCAATCACCTGTAGTAATTTTTACATCACTCTGTTGGAAAGGGGATCATTTTTCAACGGGGGGTCAATTTTTTATAGGACACACATATAAAAAAAATTACCCCTAAGACTCTTTTTCTACAAAAAATGATTTTTTTCTTCGGCTTGGGGGCATTTTTTGTCGTTGAAAAATGACCCCCCGGTCATTATTCGATGGGGGTCATAATTCATATTTACAGCGGCATCAGAAAATTGTAACAATGTTTACCTAAAAAAAAAATAGAATTTTGAGACTGACGTTATCCTGTGCGCATGCACAAAAGTGATAAGACAGGAATAAAGGGGGCCTCCCATGGGGAGAGGCTTGTCAAAGGAATAATGAAAATAATCATACAAAAAAACAGCATAAAATCCTAATTTCACGGGATTATGCGATGAGATACGCATGGTACAAAAATATACAGTAAACAGAAACAGAATGCGTATTTCAGACCTAAACAGTGTCAAAGGTGGGGCAACATCCGCCACCGATCAAAGCCTCAAAGAGTTTTCTGCTAAAGGTATTTTTGCAAAGTAAGTCAAAGGTCAAGGTCAAGTGGATTGTAACACAAGTAATTTTCTTGTTGCTTTATATCAAACAGTGCACATGCTAAGTAGCATAAATTTAGGTTGAGGCTATCTGGTACCGCTTGCAGGGATGGCTGGCAGGAGTTATCTCTCCATAAGTGCGTACGAGTTATCTCGCATTACAACGGTGATAACCATGGATTTGTACCCTTATTAAAAAGTTCCACATCAATCGTTTTCTAGAAAGATTAGTGTGTATTTAATATGTAAAACGTAATAATTAAGAGAGAGAGAGAGAGAGAAATTTATGTTTTCTAAATGCTGATCTTAAGATCTTGCGAACTTGGGGGTTGTAAGGGGGAAGGGGTGGGTGATAATTAAATGGAAACAAAGGTGTTTAACAGAGCTGTGACCCCCCCCCCCCCCCAAACATATGCATGACGAAGTTTATTTACTTAAATATTTAATTGTTGTATTTATTTAATATTTATATATTTTGGCTTCTAAAGGAATTTCTCTTTGGTTTTGCCCCCAAACTTTTTATTAATATTGCCTAGAGAGCACAACCCTGGATCAATGGAGAGCCGCGATTCCAAGACCAATAAATATCTAACCCCCCCCCCCCCCCCACACACACACACACACCTCCCTACACATACACAGAGAGAGAGAGACACCCGCCTGATGCAAGATATGCAATTTTATGAACGGGGTGCGTCTTGATATAAACAGCATTACAAAAAAAAAAGAATGCTCATAGTTTAACGGTATAATTCTCTGTATAATATTCCTATTTTTGAATTTATGGATTTTTGCTGCTGCAAGCAAAAAACTTTTCATTCTAACTGCTCAATATTTTTCAGTGAATAATTCTTCATTTCATTTCTTTTTTTTAATGCTTTGGCACCATTAAACAGTATCAAATGCGTATAAAAAAAACTAGAGACATTTAGACAAAAATATCGGTTTATTTCCTATCATACGATATATTGGTGGTAAAGAGTGCTTGTGATTATACATATTTAGCTCATGCTTCAACTATTATTAAAGTTTATCTAAACTTGGCACTCTGAGAAATGTGGCCAAACATGAGAGGATTGTTATAAGAAATTAGGACATAGCTGAGCAATCAACCCCTCATGCATTCTATTGAAATTAAAACAAA